GCCATGCAATTACCTGGATGGGTTTTTTTGCTTTTTAAAAAAAGTATGAAAATTCACATGATTATCATGTATGGTAACAGCAACATTGATGTATTAACATCCAGTCTGAGTACAAAATCCAGTAAAATCATATTGTGGAATGGAAGAAACCCATTTTACAGAAATTTAGCAAAGAAAGGGATGTCTTTTAATTAAAACCTATCCAGTTTGGTAACGCATTTTCCTAACTGTGAAGTACCATGGTAAGGACACCAAGACCTTCAGATAAACATGCCAGAACTTTCTGATACATCTGCAGCACCACAGAGCCATTCAGCCAAAATTAATCGGAGGAACAAAACTTCAAAGAGGCAGCAGGGGTGAGCAGGTGGGAGCAGCAGGACCCTCCATCTCTTCCAGAACAGGCTGGAAGACTCTGAGCACCTCTCCTCAGGAGAAGATGCAAGTGGCCAGTGCTCAGCACCTTGTGCAGCCCATCCTGCAGAGACAGGGCAAGCAGGGAACAACACCAAACAAGAGAGTCCAGGTAATAGGGCAAGATCAAGAGGAAAAATAACCCTATCTTGTTTATGGGGATAAACTGCATATTTATATACTGTAATTGGAGTGCACCAGGAGTTCTCATGTGGCCTGTAAGTTTGTTTAGGGCTAAAGCTACTTTGTATTTAAAGAAAAAGGAAACTTCTGCCCCCACTACTTTCCTCCTTATCAAACTTGAATTTAAACCAGAGAGGGAGAAACCACAGCAGCGCCTACCCCACCAACTGCTGTCCTGCTGCCTGCAGTTGTCTCCCCAGCTGACCACACTCCATGGTAACCAGACTCACATCACACAGCTGGCAAGACAACACTCTGATAAAACAACTGGCTTTTATAAAATTCCCGAAGTTCAAACTCCAGTCTTCAAAATTCATTACTGTGATGGCTTGTGTCTGCACTGCAACTGAAAGCAGAGATAGCAAACACATTCATTGTGCCTCTCATAATACTTCTCTTTGTTCCAGCAAGCAGCTGGTGTAAGGCACTTTCAGATAGTCCTACTTACAACTATTCATACTAGTATCTCTCTTTTTTCCTTAAGCTGTTGGGCAGGATGATAGAGCACAGCCAGGCTCCCCAGTGACAAGGCGTGACGCTGCGTCTGCCTGCGCAGCAGCTCTGCCACAGCCCATCCACTCAGCAGGAAAGGCCTTCATTTTTACCACTTATGAGCCTAAACTGAAAGCCATTCAAACTCACACATGCAACCTCAGTGTCTGCCAAATCAGCACGGCTCTTTTCAGGTGTACCCACCACCTGCACAGGTCTCTGACCAGCAGATCCTCACCGCCCTGCGCGTTTCCCTCCCGGTCCCGTCAGCGGTATCCGCGTCCCTCCTGACACATCCATGCAACACAAACACCACAACAGCAGAAGTCATGTTTTCACAAGTGTGGATTTGATAGCAAGACACCAGAGAAGTCTTAAAAATATGTCTGAGAACTCCAGGAGACACCAGAGACTGGGGAAAAAAAAATATACACCATTTTGGCAGCAGCTTCCTTCCTCTCTGGGCTAGCCCAGGGCAGGGGCTGCACTCAGGCACAGCCACCAGCTCCCACTCCCCCTCCCCATTTCCTCTCTCCCGCTGGCCACTATTAATGCATAAAATCTGAGCATTAATTACAACCCAGAAATGAAAGGCTTCGTCTTTCCAGCTGGGGATTGACATGACACAGACCTTGAGACAGACTGAAATGAAGCTCTTTGAAAGAAAACTCCAGCCCTGCCCTTGCCTGCTTTACTTTTCTCCTTCTGCAGCTGACAAATCTGTTTGTCCACAAGAGTGAATTCCTGACACATTATTAGCTTTGGGGGAAAAAAAAAATATATTAAAAAATTTAAAATCCTCACTTGTGGTGTCTGTCAACAGGGTCCTTATATTTAAAGTCTTGGATTGAATTGCCATGACCTCAGGCCACTAAATTAATAAATTCATGGGCATGAGAGTTTAATAAACTTTAATTAACATGCATTACACCTTTAATTACCTTTTCCAATACCCCCATGCAGACAGACTCTCATTAGTAAAAGGAGTTGCCTCATGTTCTTAGGGCCAGCCATTCCCAGGAATCAACAGTACATTAAGATCTTCAAGGGCAGTTTTTTCTACTGATCCAAGATCAAAATTTAGTCCTCACAAGATATGAAACATTTCTGATTAAAAGCCAAGATATCCACAAATGACATGTTTTATTTTCTGTTCCTGTGTTCTAACAATCATGAGATTAAATTGCAAACAGATTGGAATTAATTTATCAACTTTTGCATGGTTTCTTCCACTATCTCAAACACAGAAGTCAGCCTGTGCCAACATAAATTTGGATTAATGGCATAAAAAAATCC